CCGTGCTGGGCGGGAGCAATAAGAGGGACGCTTGGTAGAGGCCAGAGACGCGAAAAGCAGCCACAGCCTCGCGTTGCCCGGGCCACGGAGAAGATAGGAGGGAGCCGGCCGGTCGGAGACCCCGTGGCCGCCTGCCCCGGCTTGGATCACGAGTCGGTGGCACAGGAAGGACCTGGGGGACGTGGCTTCCCGAGAGGACATCCCGGTGACATTCTGGGCGAGCGTCTGGCTGGGGAGGCAACCTAGCCGATGTGTGTTTATCCATTTAGTGGAATTCCAGTAAAAGCCCAATCGTAAATATTTAGGGGAAATTCATATAACGTGGAATTTAGCGCTGGAGAGCCAACGGTCCCCAGCACGACACATTCCTGGCACTCTGCAGCCACCACCTCTGCCCAGCTCCAGCCCCCAAAAGGAATGTGCACCCTCAGAGTCGCTCCCCACTCCTGTCCATCCCGTGGCAGCGCTGTTCCTCTCTGGGTCTGCAAACTCCCATGTTCTGGGCGTTTCATGGAAATGGAATCACACACAGACTCTTCAGTGGGGTGGATGGACCCCATTTCCTTATCCACTGTCTGCTGATTGACATCTGGGTCATGGCTACCTTTTGGCTATTATGGATTATAGATAATGCTATTATGAACATTTCTATAAAAATCGCCCCCACCTTTTTTTTTTTTTTTTTGAGACAGGGTCTTGCCCTGTTGCCCAGGCTGATGTGCCGTGATGCAATCACTCCCTGCAGTTTGAACTCCCAGCTCAAGCAACCCTCCCACCTCAGCCTCTTGAGTACCTGGGAATACACGTGCATGCCACCATGCTCAACTAATCTTTAAATTTTATTTTGTAGAGATGGGGCTTCACCACGTTGCCCAGGCTGGTCTTGAACCCCTGGACTCAAGCGATCCTCCAGCTTCCGCCTCCCAAAGTGCTGGGATTGTAGGCATGAGCCACCATGCCTGGACCAAATTCCATTTTTTAAAATTTTGTAAAAGCAGTGTTGAAGAGAATCTGGAAGAACGGATTCTAAAGAATTTTAACTCAGCTCGGTGCTGGGTGGAGACTTGCCCTATTCGAAATAATTTTCAGCTATATAATCATTAGAAACATGTGGGACCAGCTGGGCATGGTGGCTCAGGCCTGTAATCCTAGCACATTGAGAGGCCGAGGTGGGCGGATCGCCTGAGGTCAGGACTTCAAGACCAGCCTGGCCAACATGGTCAAACCCTTTCTCTACTAAAAATACAAAATTAGCCGGGTGTGGTGGCGGGCGCCTGTAATCCCAGCTACTTGGGAGGCTGAGGCAGGAGAATTGCTTGAATTGCTTGAACCCAGGAGGCAGAGATCGCAGTAAGCCAAGATTGCACCACTGCACTCCAGCCTGGGCGATACAGTGACACCCTGCCACACACACACACACACACACACACACACACACACACATACACACACACACAAAACCACCACCACCACCACCAAAAACCACGTGGGATATGCACCCACACTCACAGCAGCCGCATTCACTAGCAAGAAGGTAGGTGCTATGGTCTGAATGTGCCCCCCGGCATTCCTGTGCTGAAGCGGATGGTCACTGTGACGGTACCCAGAGGCAGCAGGAGTGCACTCAGATGGTGAACACAGCCCGGGGTCCACTGATGACACACGGAAAAACCAATGTGGTCCCTCCATACAAGGGGACAGTGCTCAACCTCAAACAGGAAGGAACCCCTGGCACTTGCTACGTGGATGGGCCCCAAGGGCAGTGCGCTGGGCGAAATGAACCAGTCACACAAGGACAAATCCTGCCTGATTCCATTCTGAGAGGGACCTCGAGGACTCAGATTCCTAAAGACAGAAAGTAGATGGGGGCTGCGGGGGCTGGGGATTCCCGCCGACTGAGGAAACGTGGGTGGGGAGTGGGGAACCAGAGGGCCCGTGAGCGGCAGAGACACGAGTAGATTTGTGTTTGGGATAAAATGGAGCTGGAAGTGGAGGTGAGGTTGAGTCAAGGAGGGAGACATAGCCAGAGGCGGGGGCTGCTGCGGCCGGGCCGGGATGGGGACAGAGGAGAGAGAACCCAGGAGGTAGACTCCACCTAACGCCTGCCAGGGGCCCAGGGGATCCAGGCCTCCAAGGGGCAGTGTGGCCAGCACCAGCCTCTGCTGCACCCATGGGGGTTGCCCGTGCTGCCAAGACCCGGCCTTGGATGGGCAGAGGGGCCTGTCCTAGGGACAGCCTTCCCCCAGCCTGGCTCCCAGAGACCCCACAGCTGGCACCACACCCCCACCCCACCCACGCTTTGGGGTCTTGTCTGGTGGGAGGACACAGCGTTCTGAGGGCCCTGGGCTGGTGGCTGTCGGTCATCTCTGCGCCCCTCTCCCCAAGAGGCCTTCCGGGTCCCTCCACAGACCCCCACATCCCGCCTGGGCACCCCAGCTGATGGGGCGGGGCTGGGACTGTTTCCTGAGCAAAGTCACTTGAGTTGCTGGAGCCCAGAGCCAATAAAACCCACTGATGCGTGTGGGAAACCCATGGGGGCCGCCCGCCCAGGATGTTTGCTCCCGCCACGCCCCCGCCAGACTCTCACGTGGCCTGCAAGGGGTCTCGGCTCTGCGGCCCCTGAAGAAGTTCCGGCCACCCACAAGCCCTCACTACCCTGAGGGGTGAGGATTCAGGGGCCCAGGGCCCGAGCTCCTCCCATACACACCCCTGACCCCTCCAGGCCTTTCATGCTGCTGCCCCGGGGGTATCTGGGCCTCCGTCCCTTCCCTGTGGCCCCTTCCCTGTGGCCCCTTCCCTGTGGCTCCTTCCCTGTGGCCCCTTCCCTGTGGCTCCTTCCCTGTGGCTCTGTGCTGTCCACACCTGCCCAGCCTGGTCCCGGAACACCCTCAGCTTCCTCATCCCACCGAGGCCATCAGACCCCGGGGTCTTGTTCTCCCATGTGCCCCAAGCAAGAGCCAGCGCTGCCCCAGGCCTGGCCAGAGGCTGCCTCTGTGTTGTGAGCAGCGCTGGGGCCCCCGCCCAGGGCCAGGCGGTCGCGTGTTCTCCTGGATGCCTCACAGCCTCTGCACACCCTCCGCGTCTGCCTCCTCCCACCTCTGGTCCAGTCTCCACTCTCAAGCTGCAGTGAGTGCGGCTTCGCCTTCCTTGGGGCATCGTGGGTCAGAACGTGGGGGGACCTGTATTTGCTCCTCTCTCTGACTTAACCCCCACAGCTCACTCCCTGTGCCCTGTTGCCTCTGAGCCCTCACAGAGGCTGTTCCTTTGGCCTGGAATGCTCCTCCAGCTCAACCTTGATCCCAGGACCCAGCCCCACGCTGGTGTGTGGCAGGTGCGTTTGTCCCACAGGGACGCCTGTTCAGCCAGCGCAAGGGCCCAAGGGCGGGAAGTCCCAGGCCCAGCTGTGGGGCCGCCATGGCAAGCCCACTGCCCCCCGAGAGTCAGCGTGGGAGGGTCCTGGGCGTCTGGGAGGAGGAGGCTGAGCACAGCAGGTTTGGTTTGTGGGGAGGGTGTGCACCTGGTGGGGCAAGGCTTTGACCGAAGGCCCCCAAGGCTTTGACTGGGGTTTGCACGTGGCCAGGACCAGACTGGGGAGGCCAGCGGGGCCGTGAAGCTGGGGCCTGGGACTGGCAGGAACCAGGGTCCCAGGGCTTCAGGCTGGACGAGGCGGGGAGCAGGGTACCCGAGGCTTGCGGCTGGGCCACATGGGGTGGGGCTCGAGGGCATCTTCACCAGAGAGCGCGGGCACTGGCGCCTCTGTTCGCCCCACATGGCTGCCAGCCCCTCAGGGAGAGGGCACGGAGTCAGATCAATTGGAGAAATTGATCTCAGCAGGGATTTCCGAGCCATCTGCTAGGTCCCCAGAGCCTTCCAAGCGGATGAACTTGGCACCCAAATGCCCAGGGAGGCGGCGGGGGAGGTGGTCGGCACTGTGGTGTGAACGGGCCTCAGTTTCTCCCAGGGAACCCTGGACCCACCCCTCCTTGGTCACTCAGAGGCAGAACCTTGTGGACCCGCTAGAGAAGCCCCCGCACTCCCCGGCTGCTCTCAATAGCTATTGAGAAGCCCGGGCAGCCCGCTCGGGGGCGGCTGTGAGAGGCAGCTCCAGCCTCAGACCCCAGGCAGCATCTGCCATCTTTCACCCCGTTCCTGAATTCCACGTCTCCCCGCTTCCTGCTGGGCATTCAGCCGCCCCCCGTCCCGGCCCTGTCTGGCTCAGCGGGGCTGGGGCAGGGGTCTCGCCCTGTGCTGGGCCTCGGGGGAGCCTGGGCTCCACTCACTCTGGTCTTTGCTGGCTGCACTCAGCTCCAGGGACAATATTTGCTCGGGGAAAGAATCAAACATTTATCCTTGAGTTTATACAGGGGAGCAATTGTCAAACACACGTGTCCTCATCGCTCGGACGCTTCCCAGGCCCGACCTCGGCCTGGGCCTTTCCCTGCCTGGCTCTGCACCCACTCGGCCCTCCCTGCACCCTCCCGGGAGGACGGGGACCTGCTCTGAGCGGTGGGAGCACGGGTCAGGGCCAGTGCCGGGCAGGGCAGAGGGGTCTCTGATCCTTCTCCTTCCAGCCTCAGAGTGAGGCTCTGGGTCCGGGGCGCCAGGAGAAGCTGGCGTTCAGGGTGGGGGAGGTGGGACAATTCTAGGTGGGGTTCAGCAGGATTCCCAGGACCTGGCATTCCCATCACCCAAGCAACCACTGCCTCCCAGCAGCGCTGTCCCCCCAATGCCGCCTGGATGACTGTCCTCTGCTCCTGTCCCCGTTCCCTCTCCTGGGCCCGGAGCCCCTGCCCCAAAGCAGAAGAGGCAGCTGCAGGTTCCCCATCCTTTCCAGTCCCTGACCCTCGGGTCCTGCTCCATGAGGAGCCCTCCCTCCAGTGCCCCCAGGCACACCCGTACCGGGCCCTCCAGACAGAGCCAATTCAGAGCAGCACAGACACCTGCGCCCCAGAAGCCTGGAGAGCTGGAGCCTCCACCCCAACCTCAGCCCCTGGCTCTCCTCTGTGCCAGCTGCCTCCACACCTCTCCCACCGGGAGCCCCCTGCTTCCCTCTCTGGGACAGCATCCCGTAGGGTGTCGGACAGCAGGGTGGGGCCCCAGGGCAGGCATGACCCTGGCTGACCGAGGGCAGCCCCGCCACGCTCCCTCACACCTGTGTCCAGATTCCACACAGTGCGGGGAAGGCTCGGGGCTGGGGCCCCAGGCAGGGACTCCAGGGGACCCGAGTCTAGCCCTTTCAGGTGTCTTTAATTTACCAGAGCAGCAAGTGGCTCAGAGCTGACCGGAGGGCACACGCAGCTGGGGGGCCAGGCAGGGCAGGCCCCTGCCGTCAGGAAGACCCTCTGGTCTGGCTGGCCTTCTGGAAACGTTGCTCCCCGGCGGGGAGGCTGGCATGGGCTGGGGCAGGATGGAGGGTGAGGAGGCCCTGAGGACTTACAAGAGCCCCTCAGCAGCCTGGCCACCTCCCCCACCTCCCAGGGCCCCCCCCTCGTGGGAGACAGGCGGGAGAGGGTGGTCTGTCACTGTGGGGGTGCCTTCTGTCCCGCGTCCACCCCAGCCTGGCCTCAGGCAGCTCCATCCTCACCGCACCGCCGCCGCAGGGAAACATCCTGACTGGCAGGTGAGGGTGGGGGCACTGCAGTGCAACCCCTGCCCCTGGGGGGACACGGCCCCGCCCCCCCCCGCCGTAGGTGCCCCTCACAGCTGGCTGGTCTGCATGAGCCCGTTGGCCTCGGCGTCGTGCGCGGGCGGCGTGGCCTCCGGCTGCTGCCGGCTCCTGCGTGGCCGCGGCTCCGTGGCGTCAGCGTCCTCGGCGCCGGAGCCCTTGCAGAGGCACAGAACCTTCCGGAAGCTCTGGCGGAAGTTGTCGGAGAGGAAGCCGTAGAGGACCGGGTTGGCGCAGCTGTTGGCGTAGGAGAGGATGACCACGAAGAAGTAGAGGCCGGTGGAGGCGGGCTCCTGGGGCAGCGCCACCGCCAGGTTGACGATGTTGACGGTGAAGAAGGGCAGCCAGCAGCCCGCGAACACCAGCACCAGCACCACCACCATGCGCGTCACCTTCCGCTCCGAGCGCCGCCGCGCGCAGCCCACGCGCACGCCCGCGGTCCTCACCTTCACCACGATCAGCAGGTAGCACAGGCAGATGACCAGCAGCGGCCCGAAGAAGCCCAGCACGGCCGCGTAGACCACGAAGACGGCGCCCCACAGCGCCACCGGCTCCGGCCAGCTCACGTTACAGGTGCCGCCGTCCTGCACGTCCGCGAACACCAGCACGGGCAGCGACATGCACAGCGACAGGGCCCAGGCCGCGGCGCTCGCCATCCTGGCCACGTGCGGGCGGCGCCAGCGGGCGGAGGTCAGCGGGCGCACCACGGCCAGGTAGCGGTCCACGCTCATGACCGTCAGGCAGAAGACGCTGGTGAACTGGTTGATGCCGTCCAGCGTCATGACCAGGCGGCACAGGACGCGGCCGAAGGGCCAGAAGGACGCGGCGTTCTGCGTGGCCAGGAAGGGCAGCCCCAGCATGAGGAGGACGTCGGCCACCGCCAGGTTGAGGATGTAGATGTTGGTGACCGTCTTCATCCGGGCGCAGCACAGCACCACGTAGATGACCAGCGCGTTTCCGCCCAGCCCGGCCGCGCACACCAGCAGGTACAGCGCGAGCACCAGCACCGCCCGGGCCCCCGGCGCCGGCGCCGGCCCCACCAGGGACCTGTCACCCGAGGAGGAGGCGTTCCAGCCAGGCACGGAGGCCGGGAAGAGGGGCTCCATGGCGGCAGCCCGAGGGCGCGTCGGCTCTGCGAGAGAAGAGGGGAGGACGCCGAGGCGGCGAGGCCGTGAGCCGGCTGGTCCAGGTATTCCTCCCTCCCCGCCCGGCCCGGCCCCACCCGCCGGGAGGCTGGGATCACCGGGTAAACACGATTAGTCATGTTCAGCTCGGCCAGGAATCACATTAAGCAAATTGTTTGGAAAACAAGCCAGGAGAGGAAGGAGCGGCGGGCAGGTGGCCCCGGGAGCCCTGGACGGCCGGCCGCTGTCAATACTGTGACGGCTGCCCTGTGGCCGCCCCGGCACCCGGTGGCGCCTGGCCTGGCTGCGGCATCGTGAGGCCAGCAGCTGCATCTCCCCAGAGCCCCTCAGAGCCTGCTGGCCGCGTCTCCCAGGTAAGGGGCAGAGGCCCAGGGGACGGCACCTCCCAGGTGCACTGGGAGGGGCGGCAGCGGAGAGAGACGAGGCTGGTGGTTGGCGCCTGCCCTGCCCGGGATGCAGGACTGGAGAAGCGGCCGGACGGGGTGTCACTGCCGCAGCCTTGAGGGACTTTCACCGGGCTGCACCTGCCCCTTGGCCCCCTGCACCTCTCGAGGGCCATTGAGGGGAGCTGTCCCCCCATGGCAATGACAGACATCTGCAAACCCAGGCGGGGGACACAGCACAGGGGCTGGGCAGACACCGCCCCTCCCCACAGGGTGGCTGCAGAGAAGCAAACACACAAACCCACAGAGCAGCCACGTGGAGCTCCAGGAGTCGCACAGGGCAAAAGTGGGGGGAACCGTGGGGTGGCCCGAGGGAGAAGCTGCAGTGTGGGGCACGGGCGGGTCACAGGCACAGGTGTGGGGGCTCCAGCCGTCTGACACTACCTGTCCCATAGGAGCTTGGAGCCCCCTGCTAGGACCTGGAACCCCCCACGTGGCCCAGAGAGAGAAGAGGGGAGACATGGGGGAGGGTGGGCTGGGAATAGTAACCTCTGTGGGTTCAAGCCTCGTTTATTGTTTTTGTGTTTTTCTGTGTGTTTGAAATCAGTCATAAAAACTATTCTCACGCCTGTCATCCCAGTGTTGTGGGAGGCTGAGACGGGGGTCACCTGAGGTCAGGAGTTGGAGACCAGCCAGGGCAACATGGTGAGACCCCATCTCTACAAAAAATACAAAAACTAGCCAGGCGTGGTGGCAGGAGCCCGTAGTCCCAGCTACTCAGGAGGCTGAGTAGGGAGGATCATTTGGGTCCAGGAGGTAGAGGCTGCAGAGAGCTGTGATTGCACCACTGCACTCCAGGGTGGGACACAGAGTGAGACCCCGTCTCAGAAAGAACATCAGGCCGGGCGCGGCGACTCACACTTGTAATCCCAGCACTCTGGGAAGCTGAGGTGGGAAGATCGCCTGAGGTCAGGAGTTCCAGTCCAGCCTGGCCAACATAGTGAAACACCGTCACTACAAAAAATGCAAAATTAGCTGGGTGTGGTGGCGTGTGCCTGTAGTCCCAGCGACTTGGGAAGCTGAGGCAGGAGAATCGCTTGAACCCAGGAGGTGGAGGTTGCAGAGAGCTGAGATCAGGCCAGGCCAGTCCAGCCTGGGCAACAGAGTGAGACTCCGTCTCAAAAATAAATGAATAAATAAAAAGATCAGTGCCTCCCCCGACAAGTGGGGTGGAGGAAGGATGGACGTTCGGGTTGACCCCGGGGCTCTGTGACTCTGGGGGTGGCCGGCAGAGAATCAAAGCACCCCTCAGGATCCAAACCAGGGAAAGGTCCCTCCCTGGGGGGACCCTGGCCTGAGTGGGAGTGGAGCCGGCCGTAGTGATCCCAGCATGCGCTGTCCGGAGCCCTGGGCCTGCTCAGCTGACCGGCTGTGACTCCCGAGGCACCTCAGAGCACAGGACGCCCCCAGCAGCTGCCAGGGAAGGCCACAGTCCTGGCGGGGGGCTGCGGGGTTGGGCCGAGGCCACTGACACCTGGTAGACAAGGAAAGGCGAGCCAGGTGGGGGGGGGGCAGAACACAAGGCTGACAGCCACAAAGAGAAAGCCCTGTGTCCCCAGCAAACCCAGAAACCAGCATTCCCAGGCGCACGTGGCCCAAACGCGCTGAGAAATACAACTCAGAAAACGAACAAGGCCGGTGCACCCGTGGATTCATCTCGGGGGGAATAAAAATAACCAGCTAGCAGGTACGCTTAGACTATGTCTAAACACGCGTAGGATCCACGGAGAAGGCACGGGAAAATGCTGGGAAATAAATTTGGCTTCTGTCTAAGAAGTAAAATGAACAGGCATCTATTTTTAAAAATCACACATCTTGGATGTAAAAAAATACAATCATTTATGGTAGAAAAAAGAACTACAGAAGTGGTCAGAACCAGCTCCAGTCTGCACAGCGCTGAAGAGAGAATCGGGACTGGAAGAGGGTTGACGGATCGGCGGGAACAGGGCGCCAGCAGAAGGTCAGGAGAGGGCTGTGTGGGGTCCCGGGGGAGAGCGTGGCTGGGCTACCCCAGAACTGGTGACAGTGTCCCGTCTGGGAGTCACCTGTCCTGTGCAGCATAAAGGAATGAAAGAGCATCCCCGTCCAGCTGCGGCATCGGGGCAAAGAGAAACCCTCAAGTAAGCCATGCGGAGACAGGATGGAACACACGGGCAGGACCCAGACAGCTGTGGCAGTGGCCGCCATACAAACCACAAACTCGGGGGTTGGGAGAAGCAGGGGGTGGGGAGGGAGAGAAAAAGGGCGGGGGCAGACAGAGAGAGAGAGAGCGCGCGCTGTCACCCTAGAACCCCTACCCAGTAGAGCGCTGCCCAGCCAGGAGGGAAAAGACATTTTCTGTTTTGCTGGAGCTGCTGCCCGAGGAGCTCCTGGGCCGGAGTCAGGCTGGAGCCTCCAGCCGCATCTGCTCCTGGCAGGGAACAGGGCCTCTCCTAGGAGGACTCAGACAGGGGCCTCCCAGGAAGCGAGCTCCCCCAGCAGCAGTGGACCAGCAATTCTCCACTCCTCAGGGACCAGCACAGAAATGCAGCACGTCACGTTTACGGCTCCCTCCGGCTGCCTGTGGGGCGTGCATTCTGGAAGGACAGTGGTCTACAGACAGCCCGTGGGCTGTGTGGGAGTCCGGGTGGACGGGACAGCGTCCCAGCTGCTGAGGCCTCTGAGCTTCGGCCCACTCCTCCGTACCAAGGAGGCCAGGTGGAGGAGCCACCGGGGTGGGGCACGGAGAGGGCAACTGTGGGGCTCCGGTCCCTCTCCAGAACAGGCCCTGGGTCCCCAGCACCTCTGGTTCCTGAGTGCTGGAGTTTTTGCTTTTGAGATGGGGTCTCACTCTGTTGCCCAGGCTGGAGTGCAGTGATGCGATCACAGCTCACTGCAGCCTCAACCTCCTGTGCTCAGGTGATCCTCCTGCCTCAGCCTCCCAAGCAGCTAAAACCAAATTCCCGTGTTTGTAGCTTCAGAGGAGCTACTCAGGGCTCCTCTGCCGCCACTCCCCTGCCCAGAGCCCAGCGAGAGGCTCCACGGGCTCCCAGGTCCCAGCTCTGCGGCCCCCAGGCTCCAACTCCAGAGCAGCCAAGAACAAAAATAGGCCATAACTGCTGTACCTAACTCTTGGAACATAATTCTGCAGGAGCCATTATTCGGAAGCAGTCATCTTCTGAGTCATAAAATTACACACTCACGGGGAAATTGTCCCCATGGCCCTGTCCCTCGTAGGTGGGGGGACAAGGACAGCAGGAGGGGGCCAGCACTGGGGACTTCTGATCTCCAGCCCTCAACCGGGAAGGGGTCTGCTCAGCCAGCATGTAGCCTGACGGCACTGGGAGCAGATCCCGGCCCTGCCCCACCACCCCACACGGGCCTCCTGGTCCTGGGTAAGTCCCGGGCTTCTCTGAGCCCAGCTGCTGGCAGAGGTCACTCCTGCAAACCAGAGCAGATGAAACTGAGCGAGCTTCTGCGTGCAAGGTGCTGGGCACTGTGTCAGCTCAGTGATCGCCCCCCCAGCTGCCCTCAGCAGCCCAGCCTCTCCCCGGCATCCAGGAAGCCACCGGGCTACCCAGAGCAGCACAGCACCCACGGTTCCCTAATGCCTGATTTTTTGTTTTCGAGATGGAGTCTCGCTCTGCTGCCCAGGCTGGAATGCAGTGGTGCGCTCATAGCTCGCTGCAGCCTTGACCTCCTATGCTCAGGCGATCCTCCTGCCTCAGCCTCCCAAGCAGCTAAAACCAAACTCCTGTCTTTGTAGCTTGGACCACATGACTGTGCCCTGGCCAACCCCTTCCAGGTTAGCCCAGCACGAGGTCGGGGAGCCGGGTCCTTCACGGGGGCAGTGATGCAGCTGCAGCTTGGAGGGGCTGCATATACCGGTCCCCTACACACAAGCCATCTGTCCCTATGGCAGGCAGCCTGTGGTCAGGGCACACACCTTCCCCAGGATGGGAAAACGGAGGCAGGTGTGGGCCAGCCTGGAGCAGCAGCAGCAGCAGGGGCCAGGCCCCACTACCCCTCCTCTGCGCTCTGCGAATGCTTCCTAGGCCACCCTCCACTCCTGGAAGCCCCGCCGGGTCTCGCCCTAGAAATCCACAATGGGCCCCTGTCCTTGGTGCTATTGACCAGTTTCCGCCCCCGAGGCTTTGGCAGTCCTCACCCACATCCCGGGAATCGCTGCCTTCAGAAAGGGCTCAGCCTAGCTGGAACTATCCCAAACTTATGTCAGCAAGCACTCCACTCTCACCTCGAGGGGGACCCAGGCAGGCTGGCAGGCCGGGGAGAGCGGGCGGGCAGGTGGGCAGGCCTGGGGTCGGGGAGGAGCGCCCAGGGCACACACCCCAGGGGCGTGTTCTCTATTCTGGGGAGGGCAGAGACGCCTGGAGGGGTCCGGACAAATGCGGTGCCTTGGACAGGAGGCGGCTCTGTTCCGGCGGGCAGGGGTGACACCCCAGCCTCCCAGTGGTGGGTCTCAGGGAACCCATCTGTGGGTGCCAGCTCACAGGACTCCAGTGTTGGCTCCTGCCTTCCAGGAGCTCACTGCCCCGGCTGGGCGCAGCCAAGAAATGGAAAGGATGGAGGGTCTGGGAGCGGAGGGAACAGGAGGGCAGGGACCCCGGGCAGGAGAGCCCCGCGAGTGTGCAGAGGGCGCGCGGGGGACGGCGAGCGCAGCAGGCGGGGGGGGGGGGGAGGGCGCAGGGCGGGACCCTGGCTGGGGCTGCGCACACACGGTGAGCGCCCCTGCGGGGATAACAGCTGCGCGGGACCCCGTGCTGCCGAGGGCAGGGGTCGCCCGCGCAGGAGGGGAACCGGGGCGGGCGGCACTCACCTGGGTGGAGGCGCCCTCTGGCTGGGGAGCCCGGGCGTCCACGCGCAGAGCTGGCTCTGGGCTCTCGGGCGGGCGCCGGCTGGGAGGGGGCGGGGCTGCGCGGGGTAGGGCGGGGCCAGCGACGGGAGGGGAGGGGCTAGTGTCGGGTGGGGCTGGGCGGGGCCTGTATAGGGTGGAGAGGGTGGGGCGGGGCCAGTGTCGGGAGGGGCGGGGCTAGTGTCTAGTTGGGATGGGCGGGGCCGGTGTCGGGTTGGGAAGGGCGCGGGCGGGGGCGGCGGGGCGCTTCACCTGTGGGGCTCCCACATCGGGGCTCCTGGTAACCCTTGCGCGCTCGCCCACATTCCTGGTCACAATGGCAGTGACCCCATGATCGTCTGCACCCCCACCCCATTTTCTTGCTGTCCGCTCTGCGGTAGACCCCACCTTGAGTCTGAAGCGGGTGGAGGGATCTTTGTTCGAAGGGAGAGGGGCAGGGGCTCTGCAGACCTCTCCAGAGGTGGGCTGTGGTTGTGGAGAGAAGGGGTGCGGGGAGGTCGGCAGGCAGACCCAGGGTGAGGTGGTCGGGGGTCCGGGGTTTCCAGGATGCTCCATTCGGGTTTTAGCCAGGCCTTCTTTGCGGATCCTACACGTATTTAAATACGACCAAAATGTACCTGCTGAGTGGTTATTTCTATTTCCCCTGAAATAAACCCATGGGTCCACCTTAGTCCCTCACCTAAAGTGGGGTTCTGAAGCAGGGGGCGGAGTCACCTGGGGCCTCCGCGCAGATTCCCGGGCCTCGGGCTGGGAATCTGCATTCCTGACAAGCTCCTGCGTGCTGATGCGCAGGTCTGTGGGGCCCACCCTGAGCACGAAGGCTGGGGGTCACCGGATGCTTCCCCACCAGGAGGCCCCCCAACCCCTGCCCCTGCCCGGACTCACTGGTCACTGGCTGAATGAAGTGAGGTGCCCCCAGGTGACAGCAGAACCCTGAAGGCCCTGGACCCCTCGCTGAAGGGACGTGGGAGCAGCCACCTGCCGACTGTCCACAGGTGGGTAGGCTCACACTGGCTTGGCTCTGTTGAAAGCTCCAGCGGCTCCTTCCGGAGGCCGGGTACCAGGCCTGTGTTCTCTCCTTTAAGCTTTTCAGCGTTTCCACGTGTTCTTCAGGAGCACAGATTACGTTTCTCATCCAGCAATACTGCTTGGAGGACCACAGCACCCAGCCCCGCGGGGAGAGCCCCTGTTCACAGAAGGTCTCTGGGGAGAATGCAGCTGACCCCGGGGCACACGGCACTCCCTCCCTATACAGGCTTGGACCCCTGGGCTCAGAAAGTCACATGGCCTCTCTCCCACCTCCAGGCCCTGTCTTGCAGGTGTCTGCCAGCTCCTCAACCTGTGACACCTCCCAACCCTGACATGAGGCCAGACACGAAGCTGGGTCAGATGGAGGTGGGAAGGGGCACTCTCCCCCTGGGCCGTGGCATCCCCGGAGAAGCTCACACCACTGGCTCTGCAGGCCGAGGCACTTGAGGGTCCTGTGTAGAAAGTAAGAAGTTCCTAGGGCCGGGCGCAGTGGCTTATGCCTGTAATCCCAGCACTTTGGGAGGCTGAGGCAAGCGTATCACAAGGTCAGGAGTTTGAGACCAGCCTGGCCAATATGGTGAAACCTCATCTCTACTTAACAAAATACAAAAAAAATTAGCTGAGCATGTGGTGGCCGGCTCCTGTAATCCCAGCTACTTGGGAGGCTGAGACAGGAGAACTGATCGAACCCGTGAGGCAGAGGTTGCAGTGAGCTGAGATCACACCACTGCACTCCAGCCTGGGTGATAGAGTGTGACTCAGCCTCAAAAAAAAAAAAAAAGAAAAGAAAAAAAAGTAAAAAGTTTCCTGTTCAGAGTTTCCCTTTTTGTTAAACACTAATAATAAATGTTAGAAATAAGTTGCTTAAGACTTTTTCTCCAAAGCCTTCTTGCTTTTTGCTAGTAACTGTTAAACCTAAGCCTATGTAGCTGTTAGATATAAAAGAATAAGTACATTGTACGTCCTTGTACTTTAACCAAGATATTGTGCTGGACGTGTGTGCCAGCTCACAGGCGTGTGCCAGCTCATGGCCTCTGCCCCTTCCTTATTTGGACTTCCTCTTTTCCCTTGTTCTCCATTGCCTTTACCTATTTGGAAAAGTTTTAAGTTGTTAGCCAATCAGGTTTTAGTTTAGATTGTGAGGTCTGACTCCAGCCAGTAGAGGTCGGATGTAGCAGTAATGACCCAGTGCATAAGGAATAAATATGCCTGGCTTTCCTCTGTTCAGTGTACTCTCGAGGCAAGATGGCTGATGAAAGTGTCCTTTCTGCAGAAAGTAAAATTGCCTTGCTGAGAGAACTTTTTGTCTGAATGCTTATTTGTTTCTTGCAACACCTGGGAACAAGCATTCTGTCTCTAACTGCCTGTACGGGGCTGCAGGTGGCCCACCTGCTGATGGAGGCCACCCTGGAGGTGGCTGGCGTCATTATTCTCAGAGACTCTGGGCTAACAGTGGCTGGCAGGCTGGCTGACCAAGTCATCCTTGCCTCCCAGCACCCATGCTGAGGCAGGCACCGTCCATGCTGAGGTCCAGACGTCCCAGTGGTGGTGCAGGAGCCCTTCCGGACTGGGTAGGAGGTTCTGGGGGACAGGCCAGCTACGGCCCAGCTGCGCATCCCACTGGGCCTGTGGGCAGGGAGGCCACCTGCCTGGACACTTGAGTGTGGCATCATTCCCCAGCAGGTCAGACAAGCCCTGTCCACGCATGGGGTGGAGGTGGGGGAAGACACGGTTTCTGGGCATTCCCAGGTGCCAAGCCCACACTCAAAGGTGCGGACACCCCAGCTCTGTGAGAGTGTGGCAGAGACAAGGACCAAACCCACAGCATTTCCACAGAGGCGCTCTCAGACTCTGATGAAGACAGCTGCAGAGGGGAGCAGGTGGCAGCAGGCACCGAGGGTGGGCAGGGGACAGTACACGCTGAGGAGGGGACAAGAGAGGAGACTCAGGCAGAGGACATAGCAGGGGGCAAAGGCCCTGGGAGAGGGCGGCCCTGTGACTGCAGCAGATTGGCCAGGGGCAGCACCTGCCCCTGAGTGGCTGAGTGACCGGGGGGCCCTGGGGGGTCCAGGCAGAGCAGCCATGCCAGCTGCACGGTCTGTTCTGTCTTCCGCTTGGCTGAAGTCTGGGTGTCCCGGGTCAGGGTATATTGTGGGCCTGCGGCGGTCCCTGGCTCATGCCATGTCCCCTGGCCTAACCGTGAGTGCCAGCTCCCTGGAGCTCACCCCATCTTGCCCCATTTTCCCTAGGGCTTCTCCTGCCTGGGGACGCCTCCCTGGCCCTGCGGGAGCCAGGCTTAGCGGTCTGGGGGCTGGGAGCTGATAGATACCTGCCCCAGCCCAGCTGTTCCTGGGAGAGAACAGCTCTGGGAGGCGGCGTGTCCTGGCGGATTGGGGCCCACCATGCGGGTCCCACTTCCTTCCACTCACCTCCTTCCTGGGTCACCTCCTGCATTACGTCCCTTGCCGATCGGTCTCAGGACTCCCAGTGAGGAAGAGGTGACTTCACAAACACTGACACACGGCGGGAGGGGCCTGGAGCCCAGCTCCTGCGTGCGCTCTCCATGCTGCTGCCCCTGAGCTCGGACCAGCCTCTCTCCTGTGCCCCACTCATCCATGCCCACGGGGTCCCTTGGGGCTCCCCCTGGGAGCCAAGTGCCTCACCTGGCCTGACACCCAGGAGGGCTCAGGCCGCTGCACCTTGCGGCTAACTCTACCCCAGCTGTAACTGTCCACACCCTAAGTCTCCCTGTCTGCCAGCTTTGTCACCTCCAGCCCCAGAGCCCAGCCTGGGGCCACGGCCAGGCCCTCAGGGGAGGCTGCAGGCTGGTCCCTGGACACCTCCCCAGAATCCACCCCATAAGCCTTTTCCTCCTCTCTGGAAGTACCTGGGATCAATTCCGCACCCCCGCCCCCACACCCCAGTAGCTTACCAAGGCAGATCCTCTGAGGATCCCTTCGGGGCCCCTAACTCCTCCCCAGTCTCCATCTGCTGCCCTGCCCCTCGCCTCCTCCGGAACCCTGGCAGTTGTGCCTCAGCCCTCAGCTGTTTCTCCACCTCCCATCACCCCTGGCTGTGTTCCTCCAGCTCCTGCTGGGGCCCCCATCCTTCATGTTCTGGGGCTCCCACTGTTCTGGAATTGCTGGGCGCCCCAGGGGTACAGGGTCCAGTGTGAGTCAGGGCCCAGCACCCAGTGGGAGTTCAGCCCTGCGGGTGGAGGGGGGCTGGGTTCATTCACACTCCCAGCATCAAACTGGGACACTCCCACCCCTGAGCACCTGGGCCATCCCGGGGGCCCGATGGCCAGAGAGGAGGCCTGTGGGCCCTGCACCGCCCCTCCCACCATCAGCCACCCTGAGTTCTGGGCAGGAGTCCCCTGGCCTCAGCCCACCCAGCCCAGGAGGATCAAACAAGGTGACGCCCGCCTGGGACGCTGCAGAGGTCCAGCCCAGCACTGTGGGGATTAGTGGCTGCCAGGAGCCATGGCAACTAGAGGGTGGCTGGACACCTCTGCAGGGACTGTCCTTGGACCCCTCTCCAGGGACCCCGCCCCTAGCTGTGACCTACATGTACCACGGACTGTGAGACCCCTCTCCGGAGGCTGAGGCCAGCACCTCCCGGACGAAAAGCCCGGGCCCTCCACCCGCAGAGCCTGGTCACTGCGCTCCGGCTCCCCTGTGATTATTCAAAAGCGACAGAGGCTGACTCCAGCTCACCTGGAACACCCCGGAGGCCTCTCGTCTTAGTCTCTGGATGGGGCCGGGCCCCAGGGGGTGGTGGCCGGGAGGGCGTGTGGCACTCTGCCTGGCGGCCAAGAGGGCCCTCCCTCCACTCCTCCGAAGGGCCCTGCTGCCCCCGTCACCCTCTGAGCACCTGGCCTTTGCCCTGGCTGCCCCCACCCCATGCACCCCCCGCCTCGCTTTCTGCAGGTAGCTCCCCCAGCAGCTCAAGTGACCCTTCCTTCCGGAAGCCCAGCTGCCCCACACTTGTTCCACCAACCGCCACCC